CCTGAGCAAAGACCCTCAACCGATCTCACAACCATGTATGCATTCTGCCTCGCGCCTCTCTTCCTGGCCGGCTCTTCAACCGGCGCGCTTTCGGTAAGTCTTAACGCATCCTGACGCACTTTGACGCCTGCTCACACGTTGACTGGGCCCTTTTCCCCGTCGCAGGCGACGATGGCTTCCGAAGTCGGGGGGGGCATTTTTGACCTGTTTGTGTGTGTGATTTGGATTGGAATGCAGGAGACACACCTAGCGTCTGACGCACTCACTCACTAACTATATCTGCCCACTTTTAAGTGGGTCAGGACGACTGGGGACGGACCTAACCATGGTGGCTGACCTGGCAGAGCTCTCATCTAAGCGTGTCACACAAGTGCTGATTCATCCCCTATAAATCACTCAACCTGACATCTTAGGGCAGTTAGAATTGCCTTGATAAAATCCATGGGAGGCAGGCGTTCCACTGTGGCCTTCGCCGTAATTTGCCTATCATATTTCATGAGACTTTTCGGTCCTGGACCTTTAATGTCAGCTGCTGGTTCGTAGTTTTCGCTCATCGGACGCAAGTCTTCTTTTACCTTTCAAGGGTTTAAACTATCCACCACACTGACTGTAAGTCTAATAAAGAGACTCCGTCTTCCCAGTCTAGTTTGAGTAACTTGATTAGGTACAAAGCGACTGATGTAAGGGAGTTCTTAAATGTGTTATTAATGTCGACTGCGCATTTAGAAAGTAATCAGGCGTATTCTTTTTTTGTTCTGTTGATGATAACGGCTTGTGGCTTGCAAGATAACAATGAATCCCCAGGTTTCGGTGAACTCTCATAGATCTTACGATTCATTTTCGTGTTTTGGTTTAATCGATGGTTTCTGTCTTTCCAGGCCGAAGAAGAGGGAAAGACGCTAAACACCCTATTCACCCTCTTCCGCTCTTTTCACGCAGAGGCGTGCCTTCTTATCAGCGTACCAACTAATAGCTGGGTTGATCAACTTGGAACGATGATATCTGAACTTGTACAGTCCTCTTTACCTGACGTAAGTTTGCTTCTCTGCCAACTACTTACTAAGTGTCGGTTTCGCAAGTTACTATGCATGCTCATTATAAGGCATTATCTATCAATTAAGAAATTTTACCAATAGAAAGGGAGGACACAGAGAGTTCGCAGAGTACGTTAAAAGCACCAGTAGACGTTGGTGCAACCAAGCTCATGCACTGCGGTTGAGATCGGAACTATCCAATCACATGTCAATAGCTT